AACATTGCCTCATGGAGAAACTCACTGGCCTGTGATTATTTTTGTAACTGTAGTACTGCTGGTGCGGCTTTAAGCAATATTACTCACTCACTCACTGACGGTAATAGTTTTGTTTCCAGCTTTCGGACACATTTATGTTTTCACCATCATTGGACATTCATAGACACAATTTCTTTTGTTAAATTATATTGAGCATGTTTAGGGTTTTATTATAAAGTACATAGAAACTGTAACAACGGGAGATGACTCAGACTTTGTGTATGTAAATTACATAGCATTTTCAAGCTTAAGTCATAAGTTTGCTAAATGCTACTTGGAGAATGAAGAGCATGAAAGGAGCATGACCAAAGGACTACTAATGTGCGCATGGGCCTTGACCTTGTGATATTACGCATGCGCACGGACAGCGTCTAAAACGCGAGAACACGAGAACGCGAGATCGCGAGAAAATGAAATGTCGCATTCTCGCGTTCTCGCGATTTCGTGTTTTTGTGGCCTAATTTGACAGGTCGAGATTGCGAGATTGCGAGATTTTGCATCATGTCCAAATGTCGCATTCTCGCGTTGTCGACTTTTGACAAAAGTGCTATGTACGAAAAACACGAGAATGCGAGATCGCGAGAACGCGAGATTTTGGCCAAATCTCGCGTTCTCGCGATCTCGCATTCTCGTGTTTTGGGCATATTTACCTCGTTTCCTAAGGTCGAGATCGCGAGAATGCGAGATCGCGAGAATGTCCCTTACAGTATTCCATACTATCTAGTAATTTGTGAACATGCGTAGTTTGGCCAGCATCTTGTGATTTTCTTTGTAAAATGTTTTCCCAATCACGTTTACTTGATTAATGGTCAGAATAAAATACAGGACGAAGTATGATAATCTCGAGGTGATTTATGTGAAAATAGTGTCATTCACATGCGTAAATAACAACATAAACCAGAGCCCCGTTCCACAAAGCGATCGTAACGCTACGACAGTGTTAAAGTATGGGATCACCCTAGCGCTACGATCGCTTTGTGAACAGGGCTCGGGCTGACTCGGTCAATGAAGAGCTGCTGAGTTGGTGGAAGGGAGGTAACTCCTAATAATACTGTTAGGTAAATTGACGTTGGATACATTGTATGACTTTGCGTGTTCAAATCTCTCCGGTGAGGACAATATGTTTTGTCCAAACTTCACATCTAGTACACAGTTTGGATTCTTTTGTGACATCCAAGTATCATTATACTAGTTTATCTTAAACGTATTGCTCTTTTCGAATGTGATGATGTGATGATGTGATGATACTCTGTTGTGTTGTGGCATGTGACACTGTGTTGTGTGACGAAGGGTTGTGCAACGTGACGTCTCGTGGCGTTGTTGTGTTGTGGTACGTATGATCATGGGTTTGGAGATGTTGGTGCACTCCGCCGATGGTCGTTGATTCGAATCCCAGATTTTCCCATCCTTCGAGACATACCAGGGTTGTGGGCACCAAGAATGGATTGCAAACATTTTACCATATTGGAAATCGAACCATTGGACTTTGGGGTGGCGAGAAAACACTTCAACCACTAGGCTCTCTCACCGCCTCCGTAGTCCAGCGGTAGAGTGTCTGTCCTGAGAGCAGAAGGTCTGTGGTTCGATTCCGGCCTGGTTCGATTCATATTTCACTATATTATTTGAGTGAATGTTGTGTAATGCACGTCGCTATATTAGTGCAATAATCTTGAATGCGACATTAAACCCCATTTCACCTCACCTCACCTCACCTCACCTAACCTTCACCGACTGAAACCTATACGAGCTGCAGTAATTTGGATGTTTCCCAACATAATAGGGGCGGTCGGGTAGCCTCGTGGTTAAAGCGTTCGCTCGTCACGCCGAAGACCCGGGTTCGATTCCCGACATGGGTACAATGTGTGAAGCCCATTTCTGGTGTCCCCCGCCGTGATATTGCTGGAATATTGCTTAAAGCGGCGTAAAACCATACTCACTCACTCACCCAACATAATATACACTGCTGGGCAAAATAATGTATACACCCATGCTTGATGGTGACAAAGCATAAAATACATAGAGGTTATCACGCGAGTGTGTTTGGGGATGGTAAATATCCTGCATTAGGAATAAACATTGTATTTAGCGAGCCTTGGCGAGCTAAATACATAGTGTTTATTCCTAATACAGGATATTTACCATCCCCAAACACACAAGCGTGATAACCTCTTTATCATATAATGTCATTCTTTAATTCTGTGCTTGAAAATCGCTTTCCCTCTCTCACAAACATTACCGAAACATTGTGAGTTTTCCTAGAATGCGCGCATTAATATTTATTACGTCACAGGGTAAGTGTTGTGTCAGTTGGACAGTGACAGTAGCCAATATAGTTCCAACTGAAATCTGTTTCTTATACAGTGGCGAAGCAACATATACGCAAAACAACAATTGTTTTTAATTGCCTTTCGCGGCAATCCATTGGTCTGTCCGCTAGAGTAACTGCCCTTTGTCAAAGGGAAGCTACTCTTACCCTAGTCTATGAGACGTCGCAGCCACGGTCAGACGGTGTTGACAGTCGGTCTGTCCTGTCATAACGTTAAGAAGTGCAGTCAGATGTACACACAGCGACAAAACGAAACAAGGTAACAATTCAAACATATTTCGGCCAAATCCAACTATTTTAATTTGTGGAGAAGGTTTCAAGCCGAAGAGGTCTACAAGCACAGATATGGCTACTGATCCCGCTTGGCTAGGCCTCGTGCCCTCGCAAAATTGTTTCGAAATTTATATATCCAAATTGCCAAAACTTATAAAATGCCTTAGCTACGTCACAGTTAGACACTGATTTTCAGTATATTAGACTGTTCTTTTGATAATGATAGCAATTATCCCTGTAGTTTATCCAGATTCCCGATGGTTAATTCTGACTCGATCGCCGAATGACGAGGGCGACGCCATGTTTGTTTATAAACAGTGAAAGTAGTCCCTACTTGACCTTTGATATTTGCATCTCTATCCGCATATGACCCCAACGGATATCGTTTTTATCCGCTGGCTTTATCCTGCCGAGAAACCTACCCATTATATGATAAAAATGGTTATTCGACAGTGATGTATTTGAAACGGGCATCATATAGATGTGTTTACCGTGTTTCGAAGACTGTTTCCAGCTTAGTAAAGCTTTAATACCGGTGATACCAATTCAAATTTCTAAGTGTATACTTTCCTTTGCTCAACCCTGTACATGAGCTTTGGTTTGGTTTGTTTGTTGTTTGAGACCGCACTCAGCAATATTCCAGCTACATGACGGCGGTCTGTAAATAATCCAGTCTGGACCAGACAATCCAGTGATTGACAATCCGATGACATGCATGAACCAAGTCAGTGAGCCTGAGCCTGATCCCGCAAGCATATTCGCCCTTTACGGCAAGCATGGGTTGCGGAAGACCCATTCTTGAAGTCCCATTAATAGAGACGTGAAAACATAACTCACTAACTGACTCTATGTACTATTCAGGGGAATCAAGTACTTTGCTGTGGCCAAGACAGTTGGAGTGAGTGAGTATGGTTTTACGCCGCTTTTAGCAATATTCCAGCAATATCACGGCGGGGGACACCAGAAATAGGTTTCACACACTGTACCCATGTCGAGAATCGAACCCGTGTCTTCAACATGACGAGGGAATGCTTTAGCCATTAGGCTACCCCACCGCCCCCAGTAGTAGCAGTAGTAGTAGTAGTTGTTGTACTACTACTAGTAGTAGTAGTTGGGATACGATGTCATGCATCAACCAACCAGGCTACCCCCACACCGCTAAAACAGTAAGAGGACATGTGAATGATACATGATGCAAGATACAAGATTGAAGATGTAGAAACAGTGTTAATATTTTATAAACTATATAAACAGATACATAAGAAGTCAGGATAACAACACAAAGTATCAATATAAAATATTACGGTATGATCTTGGGTTATCTATAGTAAGTACTTCAGATTTATTTTAAGTTGTATACATGATAGAAGATTATTTCTAAGTTACCTGGTTCATTATTTGAAAAAATGTAGACTAAATATTTCTGTGATGTTAAGGCTTTCAAAATAATTATTTTTTAAGGAATCAGAAATAAACAGGGATTGCCCTACATCTGCAACCCATTCTTGCCGTAAAAGGCGACTATGCTTGTCGTAAGAGGCGACAAACGGGATCGGGTGGTCAGGTTCGATGCTCATGATGTCAATCACTGGATTGTCTGGTCCAGACTAGATTATACCGACCGCCGTCGTACAGCTGGAACATTCCTGAGTGCGGCGTTAAACAACAAACAAACAACATCTGTATATTTGCTATGATTAGAAGGAATGAGTTCGAGAACGGCTGTTGTATGTCGCAATATACTTCTGTCATGCCGCCTCTATCTAGGGCATGTTGGGATCCTGAAAAGCATTGATCGGAGGGTTTTATTTTTACGATTTTGATTTGAGACCATTTGAGAATTGTTATGAACTACGATTTCAATTAACATGACTAATGATCATCGATTTTATTTAGGGGGCGGTCGGGTAGCCTAGTGGTTAAAGCGTTCGCTCGTCACGCTGAAGATCCGGGTTCGAATCCCGACATGGGTACAATGTGTGAAGCCCATTTCTGGTGTCCCCCGCCGTGATATTGCTGGAATATTGCTAAAAGCGGCGTAAAACCAAACTCACTCACTCACTCACGATTTTATTTAGAAACGTGACAGGCAGTTCACGTGTGATCGTTAATGATGCAGTTACACGATTTTAAATTTCATTTTAATACCAATGTGACTCTAGACTTCATAGCAACGGATCACATTGCATAGCAACACACATCAAATGTGTTCTGATGTCACAGGTCCGATGTATCCTTTACATATCTCTGTTATGATTTCATAAATCACTACAAACAATAATTCTACACAGCCACATGGGCTGTGGCATGGGTAACCTACTAACCGACTTCCAAGGGCGAAGTTACACGACTGCAGCATGCGGGCCACGCCAATCAAATAGACCCAACTCCCAACATGGCGGGCGCGGATATCGAACCAGTCGCTGTGTTCTTTACGTTAGCTGCAGGTGTCGTGATTAAGTACATATTGTCAGCGATCGTGGGCTCCAGAAAGAGAGAATATGAGTTGGTGGGAGAGGTGGCGAGTTTAACATGCTACCCGATCAAGTCGTGCGGGGGTTTCAACGTCGAGAGCGGAAATTGTACGAATCTAGGTCTCCAAGTTGAAAACGGCGTTATAGACAGGTGAGGACAGCGTTATAGATGAGGCAAAACGATTGTGGAAGATAGTTGAGATTTTGGTTCTAATCAATTTTTATTTGTTTGTTTGTGTGTTGTTTAACGCCGCACTCAGCAATATTCCAGCTATATGATGGCGGTCTGCAAATAACTGATTCTCGACCAGACAATCCAGTGCCTGACACCATGAGCATCGATCTACGCAGTTGGGATGCAATTGACATGCATCGGCCAAGTCAGCGAACCTGACCACCCGATCCTTTTACTCGCCTCTTACGAATAGCAGAATCGCCTTTTACGAGAATGGATTGCTGAAGACCTATTCTACTCCGGATCGTCACGGGTCCATTTTCAGTAAAATGCCATTTTCAATTAAATAATCAGATTGGTCGGTCTTAATTACATATTTTATTTTCCCCAGACCTTTTATACAGAGACCATAAAAAAAAAAAATGGTCTTGAAAATGTATATGTTTGAAAAGAAGACCTGGCTTTTCTCTGAGTGATGTAAGCGTGTATGTTTGCTGTACACTTATTGTGTTCGCCCCATACAGTCTATACTTTCAGCAGGGTATTCCCCATTTTCTTCATTTTCCAGCGTATTAATGGCCTCGCTTTGAGAATGCGAAATGTGATATCTAAAACTGGCCCCTAAGAGAGATAAGCACTCTCTTCGATGACATCTAGTTCAACCGCCCCAGGAAGGCAGAGAGTAACACACAAACATGGTGTCCTGCTATGTCTGCAGTAATATTTGTGTTAGTACATTCGTCAAAGAATAACACAAAACAATATACTTCAGTATCTTTTAAATGTTATTATCACAGATAGAATCAAACTGTTATGTAAGTGACTGATTGTCAGGAAAATCATAATGTTTATGTTACATTTGTTAATTATGCTCAAAAATACACAAGGATACTATGTATTAACAACAATATGATACAACTTTTACAAACTGTCAACATCACAGATATTGTTTTCATGCATTTACAAAGATGTTATTATGTTACAGTTCCATTAATTTCAACAGGCATGAATTCTGTGATTAAAGGGGAAATATAGGTTATTAACTGAGGATCATTATCATGTTGATGAGTTTGCCATATCATGATTAAAAAATCATGATAGTGTTGAGCCCCATATTTAATTTAAGTCAGAAAATTCCATTGACATGTGTATCTGTTAAAAGAATACATGTAATATATTTAGTTGTGTCAACAAGATAGTCCAACCATGCACGAACCTCCACCAGGGCAAAATTTCCATTATTGTTATCAAAATTCCTCTCCACTATCGCTGGACAATGGTTGGTACTCTTCATTAGGAATATTTAAGTAGTCTCCATCAAAATATGTGTTAAAATCATTCCATTCATAGTCTAATGTCTAATGTCGTGAAACTATACTTTCTGTATCTGCACATGTATAGATATTATGCCACATTTGGAAGACGAGGAGTACAATGCAAACTGTATATATAGATGATTATTTCATATCTGTATGTTTAAAAATATATCACTTTCTTAATCCAATCAAGAAACAATAAAAAGAAGTATCTCCCCTGGTATTACCTTGCAATAAAAGTCTAAAAATGTATGGCAATTTGGAGCAGACGACAGTTTTCCATTTCCACAAATCCGGCGTCTTGGTTTGGTCACGTGACCTAAACACATCAACTAGAGGCTTCTGAATGTTTTTCTTCATTTGCACAGGATACAAGTGCCAATACAATTTAATAAATTGTTTACTTAGTTTTCCCACAAGACTGTAGTAATGACAGTTTGTTTTTAGCACTTGTGAGATAGAAAGATCCTGGACAAGAAGTATGTGACCCTCCAGTCACATCGTTTACCCCTAATGAAGAACTGTCCATTTGAATAGATGATATCATTATATTTACACAAAACAAAGACGATATATTTGACCTCGGGTGACAGATCTTTCACAACGATCACAGATATCAGCGATAAAGTGTAAACTGTTGACACAAAGTGAATTCCAGAACCAGCTATTTCTGAATGAAATGTTTCAGAAAGGGTGATGCTCTTTAACCAACCAGATTGCTACACTATACTAAAGCGCCACCTTTTTCTGTGATTGACTCTTTTCCAAATTCACCAACAACCAATACAAAATGTAGAATAATGCCTTATATGGCTTGAGATAAAAAGATCCTGATATTGAAGTTGAACTACAGGGAAAAACTGTACAACCGGAAGTGTGAACATATTACTTTTGGACCGTTTACTGGAGCCAGGCTGTATCATTATATCATGATAATTACTTGTAATTGGAGGTGAACCTATGATGAATTCATATGTGAAAAAGTAAGGGCTTCTTTTATTTTAACTTCTAAGTAAATAAGATATTTCTAATGACACCACTTTCTTGTTGATCAGTGGTGTTTCAACCTGGTATCAAATTACATTCTCCATAGGCGCTGTAGAACCAGAACGAGGCGGGATCCCCCTGCTATAAGCAGGCTTTACTACTGAAAGAGTAAGCTGATATTGGACATTGTAATATGTAAAAGAATAAAGGAAAAGGCATACACCTTTCAGTGTTGGATTTATTTGATGAAGCGTTCGTAAAATTCCTCCGTAATGCCTTTGATATGACGCATATTGACAGACTCGCGATGACCCCAACATGTTTTGGAATGGTTCGATACTTACAACAAAATGTACTGACGTATAACGGAAGCCTTTAGGTGTTCAGGAATGATCCAATCTGGTCTTACATTTCCAGGAAACCACATGGTCCCACCTCACTCACAGAATAGGTCTTCAGCAACCCATGCTTGCCGTAAAAGGTGACTATGCTTGTCGTAAAAGGCGACTAAAGGGATCGGGTGGTCAGGCTCGCTGACTTGGTTGATGCATGTCATCGATCCCAATTGGGTTGATCGATACTCATGATATCAATCACTGGATTGCTTGGTCCAGACTCAATTATTTACAGACCGCCGTCATATAGCTGGAATATTGCTGAGTGCGGCGTTAAACAACAAACCAATCTATCAATCTATCTAAATCACTTTCCTGCCAGTGTTAATCAGCCATGTCCGTGTTTAAAGGCAGGCGAAGAAGTATGTCCTATATTACCTTGACAAACCATTTAAGGTATGAACATAGTTTGAATTATAATGTAATAAGACACGATATTACAGAAATGTATAATTTTTTAAATTACAAATTTAGATGATAAACACATGACACATATTTCATAACAAAAACGCATATGTTCTTAAATTTGTACAGTTATTAAGATTGCTGCACATTCCATTGATGAAATTAATAATGCTATGGCGTTGATCATTATTAAAAAGGCAGCTTATGGCCATGTTTTCTTCATCCCAAACAGGGACCACCTGTGTGGTCAGGTGATGGAGCGTCTGCCCGGAGAACGGAATGTCGGGGTTCGATCCTCGTCCGTGTCATTCCAAAAGACGTTAAAACATGGTACTTGTTGTTACCCTGTCTGGGGCTCGGCATTTAGGGTATAAACAAAAACTGGTGTCTGAGTGGGGTATGTCAAGCTGCGGCATGGTATCTCAGTGGGCTAACACTATAAAATCAGCATCAGTCCGGACTAGTACAAGCAGCCATACACCCGTGCATGAACGTCGCTATATATTAGTGCAAGAATCCTGAACGGACAAATAATCATGCACTATAAACAATAGGAGTATTTGGATCTGTGTAGCGACCGGTCTGAATTGGCAGGGGAAATATACCACAAGGGAGCTGTGCCTGGTATTTTGTATGTGTGCATGGCGTAGGTGAAAAAAGTACTGTTCTCCTACTGGATCTGTTTCCATGTGCTGTGTAAGTGTAATTACCATCTTCCCGAGGCAAGGGCGTTAACTGGCTGTAAAAGTCCAGTTTCCACCCTTGCCGAACTAAACTGGAATTTCCAGGCTTCGAGCGTCGTGCCACCAGTGGCTATTACGAGTTATGTCCCTTCTATGTCCCTCATATTGACCGATCAGATTCCATCTCGCATATCACTTGCATTTGCTTCAAATATAATAGCGGCGCCCAGTCAAGACGATCTCATCATTAAGTAATAAAACGGGTCTTACCCCGCGAAGTGCATCAAATCACCTGAACACCTTGATTAAAAACATGAAAAGATTTGGGAAATATCTGTCGACACACAGTTGGCGATACACATACTTTGCAAATCCTTCAGTGGATCGAAATCTGGAGGTTGAAATCCATGTTGTTTATGAACCGGATGTCTAGTTCGTTACGCGATTTTGATTGGACTATACATAGACTCGTTAGTCCCGCCAAAATGTAACTCGGGAATTCCAGCCTATTTCGGCAAGGGTGGAAACTTATAGTCTGGTAACTCCCTTGCGTTGGGAAGATGTGTAAGTCCATACTACTGACAGAGATGAACACCAGTGGCATATCAGCGTCACAGCAGTGGTTAGTCTGTCTTACAGACCCTGATACAAATATATATCAAATACAGCCCATGCAAGTCTATAATGTTTGGCAAGTCTAGATTACTGCAGTATCTAAGAGATTTACTTGGCTCCCTTTTATCATATTTTTATTAAGATAACTGAACAACTGTTTTTTTCTGTACGATATGTTCATTTCAGAGACTAGATGTTAGTCTAAGCAGTGGTAGGTTGGTGTACCTGTGTTTCAGTGGACACTGCGTCTCATTTCAGACACTGGGTGGTCAGTGACGGCAGCTACAACATGCTGTCCTCCAATCAGATGCCTACTCTGGCCCTGGTCAGAACCAAGTGTAGCCATGGACAGTTGATCCTCGACGCTCCGGACATGCCGACTCTCACGTTGCCGGCGTCCCCCGTCGTTTTAAGAAGCAAAGTTGTGAACGTTGTCAGCAGGTATGTCGGGCTCTCGTTATGTTAGGCTTGTCGTGCAGGGTCGGGACACCGCGTGGGGTCCGGTACGTCAGGCTTGTCTTGCAGGGTCAGACTGACATTTAGTCCCAGAAATAAAGTTATCTTTTTAAAAAATATGTATCTACAAAATAAAAAGAATGAAATCCAAATGAAGCACAGATGAATCCTTAATTTCAGAGGGCTGAGGCAATCTAAACTTTCGAAATCATTCTAGATTTAATTTTTTTCTCTCTCGGGTCTATGAGACAGACTAGTGCAGGGTCGGTACACCACGTGGGGCCCTGTACGTTAGGCAGGGTCGGTACACCACGTGGGGGTGAGGTACGTTAGGCGGGGTCGGTACACCACGTGGGGCCCGGTACATTAGGCAGGGTCGGAACACCACCTGGGACTGTATAGAGAACATATGTGATGGAAATTTTCGTGTGAGAAAAATCGTGAAATTTAACCAGTCAAAAATATACTTTAGATACATACTGCTGTGAGAGGTTCTTCAAAATAACACCAAAGGCCCGGGATTTACATAGAAATGACTCGAGCAGCATGTATTCAAGGAAAATAAGACACAACCAAAATAATGTGATGACGTTGCAGGAATCCCTTATTGACAAGGGAAGGCTTAACACTTCTCAGCCGTACCATAGAGTGAGTGAGTAAGGTTTTAAGCAGGGTACACCAGAAATGGGCTTCACACATTGTACCCATGTCGGAAATCGAACCCGGGTCTTCGGCGTGACGAGCGAACGCTTTAACCACTACCCGACCGCCCCCTTACCAAAGAAGAGCGAATGGCACTGGACAAAATATCATCCATTCCAAACAATCCAAAACTTGGAAATACCACCATTCCAAATGGAAATATGACCATTCCAAAATTTGTCAAGGTCATATTTCCAAGCTTGGATTTGTTTGGATTTGTTTGGATATGTTTGGATATGTTTGGATACGTTTGGATACAACATGTCATAATCATATCTCTTAAACGTTGTACAACTTTTGACCTTATGTGAGATTAGTAATGACATGAAAGTAAATAATTAAGAGTATTTTGGCACTATTTACCACGAAAAGACCAAATCATGAGCAAATTTAACCAAAAGAATTTCTGTCATTTGAAGTGGCTACTCTTTATATTTAATTTCTTATCTTCCTTGTCTATAATCATATGACATTGACTATGAACTTTGAACAATTAAACAAATATTTTGTTTTCCCATACCGACTTACGGTTGTCGTAGTACAAAGGCCGTTTCGAGAATAGAGGGCCTCATTATTATAATTTGAACTAATATACATATGTACATAATAGTACTAGGTATAAATGAATTTTGATAAGTGTTCGTACAAGAATATAAACTTCGAATTATCTCGGATTTATGCGCAACACATAGGACTGGAAATTTTATAATTGGTCTGGAACTATCTGACGGTAATTCAAAACAGGGAACAAGATTTCGTCAAATGAATCATTGAGCCAGGAATGCAACGATTTAAATGCTGACAAAATGAATAAACATATCTGGAACAGAGTAGACTGTTCATGCGGACAATTATATGCTACGTCTATTGCCAATGAAGTTTATCACCCAATAGTATAGCATTTGTTTCATATAAAAGATAGAAGCCAAATAAATTGGACAATTAGTTGTTATGAATTAGCTTTACCTCTGTGACATATTACGCAACTAAAGGTGAATACATTTATCAAATAATCTATTACAGTAATTAACCTAGTGTCCTTATTTATACACAATTTAATTACGTATTTGGGTACAATATATAATACACATATACACGGAATGATTTCTTATTTTGTCAATTTAATCATAACCCAAATCATACAAATCGAACATGTGAAAATAAAAGTAGTGACTAACTTACTTACTTACTTTGGAGATTTAACGTGCGCTTTCCGACTGATGCGTATTTCGCACACGGGCCCGGCCAGGCCATTTAATGTGTTTCCGAAAGTGGCGAAAGTGGTCTGTGCAACCCAAGAGGGGGGTTTAGGGATTGCTTATATAGAATTTGGGAATTTTGAGATTTGGAATAGATGCCGATGGGGTTGGGGAGGAGAACTAAGGGAGCTGGGTATGGTGGATGTTTGTTTGTTTATGTGATTTTGATTTGGTAGGTTATTGTGTTTTTAGATGCGTTTTATTAGTTCCGTTTTTATTAAGAATACGCCTAAGGCCTTGAAGTTTTCTAGTTTATTTTGTGGGTTTAGTATTGCTTCTAGAGTGAGAGCCTTGTTTAGATTGAGGGTGGTTTGTAAAGGGGTTCGGTGCGTTAGGTAGTGTGTGCAGTGGATGAGTGCGTGTTCTGGGGTTTCTGGTTGTTTGCAGTGTGGGCAGTTACCTGTAGTGTGTTTCTTAATTTTTTTAGGTGGTTATTTAGATTGTAGTGTCCTGTTTGGAGTTTCGTGATTACTCTGACTTACTTTATGATCAAGAGGGGGGGGGGGGGGGGGGGGGGGGGCGGTCGGGTAGCCTAGTGGTTAAAGCGTTCGCTCGTCACGCCGAAGACCCGGGTTCGATTCCCGACATGGGTACAATGTGTGAAGCCCATTTCTGTGGTCCCCCGCCGTGATATTGCTGGAATATTGCTAAAAGCGGCGTAAAACCATACTCACTCACTCACGATCAAGGGTATAAATACTCAATTGTATCTATTAATCCTAATAGTATAACAATAAATCCTGTGTATTTACTGAGCATATTTAGATACATCCGGATCTACGACCGCAGTCATATAATCAATCAAGGAAAGTATATTAGATTGAATTAAAAATGTGCTATCGCTAAAACAAAATTTTCCGTTATCCACGTAAGCCTAAACCTGGGAGAAATAAAGTTCTGTTCTGTTCTGAAGACGCCGTCATGATTAGTTGGCGCCGGTCTTGACTGTCCAATCAACGTGAATATACAAACCGTGATGTTGCTTGACCAGTTGATGACACCTGTCAAACTCAAAGTGCCCCTGGTCCTCCACCCACCATGTGTAATACTTTAGCGCACTTGATTGTTTTATTTGCAGTTATATCACTGTTAGGCTGAGTGATGAGAGAATACATTTTGTTGTTTTTGTTAACGATCGTTTCCACTTTCAACGTGGTAACCTTATAAGTGACTAACTTTTTTATCATGATGAAATGAAACATATTAAGATAATCAGAGGGACTGATGATCGCATTTTTCGCATAAATGTCATGCTCGCATTAATTTCATGATTTACTGAAGATGGATTTGAACATTTCTGAGCAACGATCATGTTTAGGTAAGGGAAGTAAATCTTGTCCCCGCTTGCAATTGGATTCAATTAAAGTCAAACACTTTTACTGTATTTTCTTAAGAAAATCTCTGTTAGAAGTGCTGGGTCCAACTTGGCCCGGGCTGTCAAAATCAACTTAAACCTCACAGATGTATATTCAAATGTATTCACATCTATAAACGAGTATAATATCTACCTATATACCACTTTAAAGTGTCTCCGTTCGCTGTATTTAAAGAAAACAAGGTGCTCAAAGTGAAGCCCTTTCCCATCTACATTCTCAACATACTCTCTATCTGAAGTGTTTGGCTTGTGTTGGGTCCGACTTGGCCCGGGCTGTCAAAATCAACTTTAAACTCACAGATGTATCATCAAATGTGATTATATCTATACCTTGATTTCTTTAAATACGATGTAATGTGACGGGAACATAAACATTATAATGATAATGATGATGATAGTTGTTTATGACGAGGATGATCACCATATTTTAACGTCTATGGTGTAATTAACAAGGAGGTCTTTCATGATTGAATTTAATCGTGCACTATTGCACATATTTATTTATCTGAAGATCCTCTTGTGAAGCATGTCTAGACTGAAAACAAGTCATTCAATGGATTTTCCTAAACGACCTATTGATGCAGTACTGAATATCAATGTTAATGTTTATTTTGTTTATGATGCTGGACGGTACAGAAATGAGTGTCAATCAAGCGAAGTGCCATCTCAAATCGACCCAGAACCGGTCACTTGCCACTCGAAAACGTCAATGTGTGATTTTGTGTCAAAGTTGATGTCCAGCTTGACACAAACACAGTATCTTTGGCATGGTTCGATCCTCTTGTTACCGTAATGTGTGGTTTTGACTCCGAGACCATCAATGGTACGACCCAGAATATGCAGAGGGCGTCGTGGGAAATGATAATTACATATAAAATTCTTTGGAATACGCCAACGTACAGAGTCAGACGTATCGAAGCGAGCAAACCTGATATAGTCCTTTTTGATAAATCCAATGAAACCATTGTATGACCGATTTATCTGTTTCTTTTGAAACTAAGGAGATTCAGGAGAAACAAGGCAAAGACAGTATGAGGACCGTACTAACGAAATGTCAAGCTAGCTTCCCAAGTTGTTATACTCGCCATTCATGACAAGAAAAATCCCGTTTCCTGACCCTTAAAATAGTGTTTATATTAATTAAAATGCACTGCAGTGACTTAAACGCTGATAAGTTTAGACGACATGTATCAGACATATCAGACTGCACTTGTGGGTATCACTTTGAAGACGCAATTCACTTTTTCTATACCTGTCAAAAATACCATAATATCAGAAACACTATGTACTTCTACACACATGGGTATGATTTAAAAACGATATTACATGGCAATAGTTCAGTTAGCAGTTCTACAAACATGACTATTCCTAAATCAGTTCACGATTTCAATGTCAAAAGCAAAAGATTCGAGTAGCTTAATTTTATGCATGTAGTAATGGAAAACTGCTATATCTTATTTCACAGACACCACTTTTATTGGCTTCATATATTTCATTTGTTTATGTTTATGTTTAGCACTACCTTACATATAATCTGATATTACCTGGAGAGGTATTTACATAAGCAAGTTTTGCTTGTTTACCGATCCAGATTTCTTTTGAAATAAAAATATGTTTAAACCATATTCGAAATATTCCAGTGTCCATTC